GACAGTCTGTTCATCACTGAGGGTCTTCCTCTGGCTACCTTCTTTGGAGATTGTCATGTTGTTTGCAGTGATGGTTGTCTTTTGGCAATCAGTGAACAATGTCTTTGGGTTGTCAGTACCTCCTATCATCCAGGAGGTTGCTGTGGGTTTTCTCTGATCAAAGGAGGTCACCTTCTGGTCCATGGAGACAGTCTCATTTAGTTCTCCAGGGGGCTTATCGAAGGCATTAACAGGGAGAGTTATTGAGTTCTGGTCAAGGACTGTCCCAGGGATATTAGAACATGCAGAAACCGTCATTGTGGGCGTCAAAGGAGCCATCACTTGGTTCTGAGCGGACTCAGGTTGGCTCTCTTCACCACGGGCAGTCAGAGGCATGCAGATCTGTGGCTCTGGTGCAGCTGGAGTTGTGGACTCAAGTGTCTCACAGAATTCCCGGAGGAACTCCGCAATTTCCTCAGATAAAGGGCGAGTATCTTGGCAGTTGCTGGATAATTTAACTACGTCTTCAGCTGTGGGATCCATCAGTTCATGGAGCGCGCGCTCAGGAGCCACTGTGTCTGAAGGTAATAAGGTCGGCTGGCACGTAGTTGCTCTGTGCAAGGCCTGGCACTTATGGCCTGGTGCTTACTGTTACCCACCCTCTTGCTTTCTAATCTTTTTATCCTCACTGAGGATGTTTACTGATTTTGAGAGGAAGGCGGGGGGGTACAGAAACATGGATCGGTTGTCTCCTGCATGCGCCCTGACCAGGAATCAAACCCACAGCCCTTTGGTGTACGACAGTGGTCAGCAAACTCATTAGTCAACAGAGCCAAATATCAACAGTACAACAATTGAAATTTCTTTTGAGAGCCAAATTTTTTAAACTTAAACTATATAGGTAAGTACATTGTTATTAACTTCATTAGGGTACTCCTAAGCTGGCCTTTGCTAAAAATGTCCTCAATCTGATTGAGGTACGTTCGCTGAGGTCGACCCCTTCCAACTCTCCCATCCACACTCGTCTTGTACACTTGTTTCGTCTATCTCCTTTCTGAAAACCGACTTCTGCACATGGTTCACGAAGTTTCAATCGCACTCTACGTGCGCGCCCGCACGTGGTATTTTGTGGAAGAGCCACACTCAAGGGGCCAAAGAGCCGCGGTTTGCTGACCACTGGTGTACGAGATGAAGCTCCAACCGACTGAGCCACCCAGCCAGTGCCTCGCTCACTTTTTAGCCAGAAAACCTATCCTCCTAGCCCAGTGATGGCGAACCTTTTGAGCTTGGCGTGTCAGCATTTTGAAAAACCCTAACTTAACTCTGGTGCTGTGTCACATAGAGAAATTTTTTGATATTTGCAACCATAGTAAAACGAAAGATTTATATTTTTGATAATAAATATCAAAGAAAAATCAACCAAAAAAATGAGTTCGCGTGTCATAGGTTCGCCATCACTGTCCTAGCCTCTAGGCCAGCAGCAGTGTAGGTCAGTCTTAATGTCCCTACAGAAAACCCTAACAAGCCCACTGGCCTGCCACTCTGCGGGAGGCTGCTGGTCTTGGTGACGGCTGGCTTTTGGGTCCCTGAGCTGGTTGCCCCTTACAACTCTGCTAGGATTCTAGGGTCCCCTTTCTGCCTCAGTCAGTAGCTTTCTTACTCCACATTCCCCTTGAGGGCACATGTAATCTACCTTCTAAAAAGGAGTCAAGAGGCCCAGATACTTGAGTCCAGCCTAAAACAGGCAATTGTCACAATGGTTTTCAGTTGAAGACTTGAGCAGCAAGGTTGGTCACACATGGTAACTGAATTGACAATATGTAGAATCTCAGCACAGAGAATATTTTAGTTCAGCTGTTCCCAACTAATTTCAAATTCGTGCCCTGGCTATCTGAATCTAGCATGTGCACCTGGGGGGATTGTTTTCATTGGTCAAGGATGTTAGTTGCAAAAAATAAAAAAAGTTTGCCAAAAACTTGTCAAATTATGAGAGACAGCCAGGCCCAGACCTCAGAGGCCTGCTGCTCAGTCGAACTCTGGGCCTGACTGGACCACAGGCAGGTACGGAGGGAGGAAACAGCTGACCAGTGTGTTGCTTCTAAAGTCACCCAAAACCCATTAGAGTGGAGGGATGCTTCAAAGTCTGAAACCAGCCTGTCTGCTGCTCTGCATAGTCCAGGGCCCATTTCTGAATCAGGTTCATTTGTGAACCGAGTTTTAGAAACTACTTTGTGTCACGAAAGCAGAGCCACTCATCCCAAAAGGGTGGCCCATGGTGAACGGGCCTGACACTGCCCAGTCCAGCTGAGACAAGAGCATCAGAGGTCCCCTACGGCAGGCCTGTCGGGTGTGATGGGGTTCAGGCAGAGTCAACAGGACCACTTACTTTCAAAGCAGAGAAGATTTTAAAGTTTGCGTGTTTATTTTAATTACAATATACATTACTCCAACAGAGCAGCCCCACTGCTACATTCTAATTCTTAGCCATTAAGTCCTACAAAAATAAACCAAGCTTTTACAGTAACTTAATACAGAACCAAAATCTTTATAGCTGTCTAGGGATTTAGTTACCAAGGTGCTTATGTTCACCAAGATGCCCTGTCTTCAGGGGGGGAGCATGCTTGTACTAAGGTGACCCATTTACTCATGCAACAGTTTACATCCCACCTCCCTCCACCCACCTACAAAACAAACACAACTATTTACAACTCGGAGCTCTGTCAGCCGAGCTTGCAAAAAAGACTGGCTCATTTCCAAGTGGATGAGACTTGAACAGTGGTCTGAGTCCAACACTGACTGGCAGGACAGAAAGGATGGGTATGCCACCCCAATCCTCATTCCTATGGAAGCCAGGCTCTGAGTAACAGACAGCTCCCAGCTCATGTTCAGGCCCCTTCTGTGCCTCCAAGAGTGCCAAGCCTGCCAGTCCAAACCTCGACACCACCACCCTGAACATCAGGTGGTCTGTCTGCTCACACATGATCTGCGGGAACTCCACTTTCCCTGCTGGGGCCCACCCGACCCCACACCCCCTGGGCTGGCCCTGCCTTGCTCCTGAGGCCCACCAGTGGCAGTGGGGGTACCAGGCCAGCAGCATGAGCGCCAGCTGGGTGACAGAGCTGTGCCTGGCTGCCACACGGTCCACTTTAAAAAAGTTGTCCCCCCAAAATTTTTTTTTTCAAAGTGAAGATCAAGCTTTCGCTCTAGAAAACTTTTTGCAAAACACCAAAACCTTAGGTAGACTGTGCATAACTGAAGAGGAAAGACCCAGAGACCTCAGAGAGGTCACCCTTAAACACTCCCCGAACATGAGCAGTTCTAACTCGGACCATGTCCAAGTTCCATGACGTCAAAACAAAAGTAATAAACGGTGACCCAACGCCTGTCTGTCCAGTAAGTGCAGCGTCCTCACTCGGCTTCGTTTCTGCCGCTGCCTCTGCAGGAGCCTGCAGGGGGAACATGACACCACATGAGTGCGCTCAGCAGGCGTCCCCCCATGTCAGGCCAAGGCTTCCTAGACTCCCCCATCACAACCCACCAGGAAAATTCCTTCTGTACGCATGCCGTAGTAGGCAGCTCCGGGTCCCATCCACCATGACCCTCTTACCACCCAGACCCTAAGGGGCACACACGTCACCCGGGACCTTGTGAAAAAGGCAGGACCACGCTGCACCGAGACCCTGGCTTGTCACCAGCTCTCCTGGCTGACCCCCCTCCCCCGAGGAACAAGCACCCGGCCCTCCTGCACGGGAACCCACTTTGACAACGCTGGGCCCAGGGTCCCCAAGAGCCCCCTGGAGATTTGAGGGCGGGCCTCACCTCTGCGCTTCCTGAAGAGGCTCCCTGCAGGGGTACTGCAACCCCATGCCCTCCCCTTAGAGGACCCCGCAGGTCACCCACTCACCTCCGGCTGCTCTTCACACCCTGCCAGTCCCGGCTCTGTGGGAAGTCGGGTTGCGCCGGGTGGTGCCACTGCCCCTGCCCCCCCGCAGTCCGCCTCGGAATCCACGGCCACGAAGAAACCTTCCTGACACCCCAAAGGTCTCCGTGTTGAGCTTCCTCTCCTCAGCCCACGTGGTCCGCCTGGAACTGAAACAGACAAGGGCTGTGAAAACTGACTGCAGGGGCAGCCATCCGAGCTTTCTCAGCCTGGGAGGAAGGACAGTCACTGTGTTCCTGGAGCCATTCGAGGGCAACCCAGCTGGCCCCCTGCAGTTGGACAACCAACACTACAGGTGCTCCAGGCCCGTTCCTCATGGGACTAGGCTGCTGGGCACAGAGCTTACGCCTCTGTCCCCCAAACAAGCCCGTGACACTAGTGCACTCCAATGGAAGCCACCTGCTTGCTGGGCTCAGGCCTGCACAGTCTCCAAGGCCTGGAGCAGACCACGGACCCCCCCCAAACAGGTTTCTACCAGATGAGGAGGGGCTGGGTTAAATGGGCAGGGTCCCCAAGGGTGTGCTTATACTTTACGGGTGCTGGGGACCAGCACAGCATGGCTCCAGAACCCTTTGAGCTCCCCAAGCACCGCTAGTAAATACCTGCAGCTGTTAATAATCCTCCTCATTTAAAGAAACAGCAGCTATGTCCCAGCTGCCACTGAGGCCAACCAGCTCTCCTCACATCCTGCCAGCAAACCATCAGCCCCACCTTCAAAGCAGTTTAGAAGCCAAGCCTCTCTCCATCACCAGGCCCAGTTGAGACACCTGAACTATTGGGAAGTGGCCACCTGCAGCCACTCTCACCGAAGACCCACGTGGTAAAAGGTCAGGTGGCTTCAATCCTGGGCTCCCAACCTCTAATAGCTGCCTGCCCTGCCCAACAGAACAGGCTTGGAGACCTGCTCTCTTGGCCCATTTCGAGTCACCGCCCGGTTCTCCTCAATGCATTTCAATCTGTGTGTGTATCTTGCCCCTCCGCATCCACTTGTCCCTGCCAGAAGCCCTCAGCGCAGGTGGTGAGGAGCCCCAGCCTACTTTCGGCTGCACCCTCTGTGCTCAGCAGTGCCTGACACTCTGCTTGCCAGTGGAGGGATCAGAGTTTCTGCAGCATGCCGCTCAGATTTCTCATGGTCTAGCTTGTTCACGGGGCAACACCTGAGTAACCAGCGGTCAGGTGCTGAAAACAAATCACACGAGGGGTGCCAGCCTCAAGCGTCAGGTGAAAGAGCACCCGGAACAGAACACTCCTAACACGCAGGCTGACTCAGGTCGCCCGGGCCTCAGGCCTCCAGGGTCAGCTGGGAATCAGGAAGAAAGTCCATAGTCACTCGGCTGGGGGGTGGGGCCAGCCCAGCCTCAATGGGCAGGGCAGAGAAGCCAGGAGGGAAGTGGGAGTGGGGCTCGGGCAGACCCCTCAGTGCCTGTGACTGCCAGGGCCTCCCATGCTGCCACCACGGGATGGATGCATCCACTGTGGCAGACATGTGAGTAGGGCCCTGAACCTGAGACCTGAGTGGTCACCAAGAGAGTGCGTCCCAGTCCTGGAAACTGAGGCAGTGTGTGTTTTCCCACCAGCTCACCCGGACCCCCACCCCTCTCACCCCTGCCCCCGCACCTGGTCTTAAGTTCAGAGGAAATGTTGTCGAAGAAGGATTTGGACTTGTCATAGTAGCAGTTGGGCCCCAGGTGGTCCTCCTCAGCAGGGGCCTCGTCATTCTGGGTCACCACTGCCGGGTCCTTCTCTTCCCCCTTCTCAGCTTTGTCATCTGCAGAGAAGTGGAGCCCACTGAGTTGCTGGAGGCAGAAAAGCACCTCTGTCCTCGGCAGGCCCGCTGTCACTCAGCAGCCAAATGACTGCTCTGTGCTAAGTGACTTCTCCCTCCAGCCCATGCCATCCACCCTAAAGGGCACAGCTCCCACACTAGCCCCCATCACCACCACCCCCATCTCACGGCTCCAGCTGTCTGACCCACTCTGTGGGTACTCCATGGAGAACAAGGGAGATTTCCACATAAGGACTCAGACCTTTAAAGTTCAGTTTCTTCTTGAACTCCTTGTCCAGCTCCTCGCGGTTGAACTGGGCGTTTGCACTCTCAAAGTCAAAGTCCCCCTCAAACTTGATTGTGTTCTCCTTGATGTTGGTTGGGCGGCTCTGCCCTCTAGAGCGATTCCTTGTTCGTCTGTTCCCTGTGAGGAGAAACGACAGTCATGGCTGATGAGCCACCAACACGATATTACTGAGTGTGAGACAGATGACAAAGAGAGGAAAAGAGAGGAGAGCACACTGAAGCCACCATTGAGCCCTAGCACCCCTGAAACTGTGCCCAGAGAAGCAGGCAGGGTGGTTGGGGGTGGGGGCAGAGAGCACGCCCAAACGTGGCAGCAGCTGTTACCTGATCTCCTCCTCTGGGGCCTCCTGTTCTCGTCGTTCACCTGCCCTGGCGTTTGCACAGCGGCTGGCTGAACTACATCTAAGGCGCAAAAGGGGATAGTAAGGCAAGCGCCTGCCAGAGCAGAAGCTGGGAAGGAAGCAGGTGGCACCACCCCAGGGGACATGCGGCAGGGGCCTGCCCTGCAAATGCATGTGGTGTTTGGGAGGGGCGCGATTTCTTTTACAAAGCCCCCAGGCAGCAGCGTGCACAGTGAGAAGAGGGAGTACACCCCAGGGAGCGAGTGTTTCAGTACCGCTGGCACTCTTGCCGCTTGGCGGGGCAGGGCGCCCGTTGAGCTGCACCCCCACAGTGCCCTTGCCGCCAGGTAACAGCTTTTTGGCGTTCAGGTTATCAAGAGAACCAGTCTGGACAGCCTGCTCCACCATGGGGCTCTTGCCAACTGGGATGGATGGAAAACCAGCTCCTGAGTTGGGGAGAGAAGGCAGATTGACAACAGAGAAAAGGAGAAAGTTCCCCAGTCCCCGCAGACACTTCTGTTCAAGCCGGGGGAGATGCAACCACCCAGAGAGGGTCTACCCAACCCAGCCCAAGCCCCCTCAGCAGGCCGCCCCTCTGCGGCTAGCCCCGGCAGCAAGGCCAGCTCAGCCTGGAAGCTGAGCCCCAGGCTCTGTTAGGAAACCCCTCAGAGGGAAAACACCTGGCCACAAGGAGCACCTCCCAGGTGGTCTAGAAATGGCTTTCAAAAAACCACACAAGCTCTGACCCCAAGGAGGCTTGGTGGTCCCGAGATGCTGTATGAGGATTTGTTCCATACTGGCCCACGCTGAGCAAGAACCATCCCAGTCTGGGACTGTCCAGAAAATGCAGTGGTCAGCCACTGGAGTTAAGCTCTTGGGATACTGCTGTTTTTGCGTAAGGCGTAACAAAGCAGAAAAGATGAGTAGCGCTGACTACAGAGAAGTGCGGCCTGCGGTGCTCTCGAGGGTCCAGGCTTGTCCTGAAGAACGAAGGCTTCCAGGCTGCCTTGGGCAATGGAGCTGCACTCCCAGCCCTGAGCACAGGACATACATGCTCAGAAACCGAGCCTCACAAGAGGGTCCTCTAAAGAAAGAGGACCGAGGGATGTGCCTTACTCATCAGCTGCCTACTCCCCTCTCACCCGGTCCTGGGTCTGTGGGTAGAAGTGCACCAAGGTCTGAGACAGAAAAGACCAGCCCTAACCTCGGGGTCCTTAGTCCGAGAGGGGCAGCTCAGGACAAGTGAAGATCACAAATTTTTTTTCCAACGGGACAAAAACCAGAGAAATTACTGTGACCAATTCCGTGTCACCCGATCAAAGTACTCCTAGGGCTGACTGGAACAGCCTTGTCACAGGCAACTGCAGTGTCCCTACAATGGGCACTGCCCCAGAGCACTTCCTCTGGCCTGTCACCTCCCCAGCACAGCCTTCCCTGAGCTGCACAGCCCAACTGAGTCCTCACACTCTAGCACACAGGCAAGAACCTTGGGCCTCTGCTTTCTCTGACACCGATGGAGCAGTTAAACCATCTTGCCTCGGCAGTTTTCAGGATCCTAAGAACAGTGTGTCTGTGTAACATTTAAGGAGGGTGAAGCATCACTCCTTGGTACCGCAAATGCACTGGCGCCCGTGCAGGGCACATGCAAAGCACAGGCTGACAGGCACTATCCTGGACCGAGTGAGTCTCCACACGGTGTGGGGAGAGCTCTGCCCCCAGTCATGCATGTCAACTCCAGACCCCCAGCAAAACGCAAAGAACCAACGCCAAGCAAGGCCAGAAACCCCCACCACCAGCATTAACAGGCCGGACATCAGCCCACACTGTTCACCTGTCAAGAGCTTGGGTTGGTCACCCAACTTTAAAGTGGCTTCATCGTACTCAGCCATGTGAGGCCCAATTTTGATGAAAGGAATGTTTCGCAGGTCCCAGAGCTGCATGCAGCTGCTCAACAGGCTCCCCCAGCAATCCAGACCACAGAGGACCGGCCAAAAGCCAGGGGACAGCCCTCTGAGCAGAGGGCAGTGCCCACACGTGGCAGTGACAGCACAGCAAGCGAAGGGCTCCCTGGTCCTTTCTAGCCCTTCTTTAAAACCAGAGTTCCTAAGTCAGGACCATGTGCTGAACCAGAAACGCAGCTTAACTGATCCACAGGCTCAGCCAATTCTGTCACAGCCACTGTCCCTCTGGGCTATCTATGGTTTACCCGCCCCTGCTCTCAGGATGCAAAGACAGCGTGCAGTTCTCCCAAACTGCCGTTACCCTTGGAAGTGAGCTGGTGTGGCTCTGAGGACATGTCAGGCTCTGACACGGGCTGTGGAGATGGAGAGGAGCTAGGGCTGGAGGCTGCGGCTGAGGCTGGAGGGCTTACCAGCTTCTCTAAAAGAAGAGAAAGGAGAGAAGAGCAAAAAGAAAGGGCACAGATAAGTAATGAGACACTTGTCTTGCATTTAGCAGGCTTGGAAAGAGCCAAGCATCTCTCCTAGGACACTTTGCTCACACAAACCTGTTCTAGAAACACAAGGAGCCGGGCCGAGAGGGCACTGCCACACTAGGAGCAGCAGTCAAGACAACAGGACTCAGAAGCAAGGGACCCACACAACCGTCGAGGGCCTGATCACACCCTATCGTCAGAGCAGGAGCGAGGTGGGTGAGGCTGCCAACCCCATGGCCTGACTGCTCCGAAGAGCTTCGGTCAGGCCCAGGCAGACCCTCACTATGTGTTGGGATAGTCTTATTCCAGGGTTATCAACTGGGGGAAACAATTTCTGAGCGAGGCATCGACAGGAGAATGAAGAAGAAATAACCTGGCAGTGCTGTATTTCAGCTTCACATTTACAGGCTCACAAATGTGCAAGGAGTCAGACGCACTGTGATTACACCTGGAAGTTATCAGGTCTTTGAAGCAATGTACCATGGCCTCCCCCAGACCTGGGCTGACACCAAATGAACGTGGATTTGGTTCACCTGTTCCAGAACCCAGCCTTGCTGCCTCCCCTACTCTCAGTGAGCAGTCACTGAACGTCCTAGCACTCGAAGGACAGTGTCCCCATCAGAAGCTGAAGCCCGCTTCAGGAGGCCACAGCACAGCAGGTTAGCAGAAAGAAAGGTTACTCACCTAGACCCAAGGAAGCTGCATACTGCTGACTGAGCAGGGAGCTGGCGGCCAGCTGGCTGTAGGGCGGCATCCCTCTGAAGGGGCTGTAAGGCACGTGCGGCTGGAAGGAGGAGCCCGAGCCCAGGGAAGACTGAGCAAGGGGACACACAGGTGAGAGCAGCGCCAGGCCCCCGTCGCCCGGCCTGTTCAGACAGGGACAGACACCCGGATCTGCCAGCCTGCTTCTTGGAAGCTTGGGTGACCCTCAGAGGGGTAAGCTCCCAGGATGGTCTAAGGGAGCTTACAGCTGCCTTTTCCACATTTTATCCCCAGCTCCACCTGCCCAGGTAATTCTCACTCAAATTTCTCCTAACTCAGTTAATCCCTCTAATGGCTCCCCACTGCCTGCATCAGGTAGTCTAGGCTCTGCAAAAGAGAAGACACACCATCCTTGGCTTGGCCCTGCCCCCAATGGGAAGGAGGCCAAGAGTCCCCATTCTCTCAGGCCCACTTAGGGGTTTCTCCCTGCAGTTTGTGCTCCAAAGGAGCTGGTGAATACTTCATTTACAAGTCAAGAGAAAACATGAACCTGGGCTCCCTGGTAATCCTGGGCAAAACACACCATAACACAGCACTGCAATTTAACATCTGGGCAGAGTTAACAGAGCAAGTCCTGCTGTCCCTGCTAGCATCGTACGCCATGCACACCATCCCGCTGGGGATTTAGACTGACCCAACCAGAAACTATGGACAAACACCGATTCCCTGAGCACACTCACCCCCCCTCTGACACTGACACACTCACACACACACACAGCATGTCTGTCTCCACACACAATACTGATGCTGCAGGAGTTAAGACTTTCCACAGCAACACCAACAGCCTGGACAAAAACTAAACAACTTTTCATTAAAAGGCCATTCCTCGAGTTGAGTGCTCTGGCCAAACAGCCGACACCAAGTTCCACTTGGCCTCCAGCACCCCTCAGAGATTGTGTCCCACAGGCGCAGAGCCTGCACTCACTTGGACGATGGCAGGGTCCTGAGGGAGAGAGTGCTGAGCTTTTGGAGGTTCACACACTGTGATGTCTTTGATATCGCTTCCCCGGAAAATGATGTACTCATAGATTTCCTCTCTGGGAGGGGCAGGCCTATCTGTGGGACGGTCTTCAGTACCGAAGGACCTCACTTAGGAGCAGAGGAGAAAACATGTTAGTTGTCCCAGCCAAGACCATTCAACCAACCCTTTACGGCTACAGCCCCTTCCTTGGGTGCCACCCATAGCCCAGCACCGGGTTTCCACACTTCAACTACTCCCCCCTCCAGTTTTCAACGGACAAGACCCCAGTTGGCAAAGCTCCAAAAAGTTCTAGGTCACGAAAAACCAAGAACAACTCCCATGCCTGGCAGCCTCACGAAGCTCAATGTGCTCACAGCAGAACAAGGTCTGCTTTGCAGAACGCCCCCCCCCCCTTCACATCTCACTTGGCAGATTCAAAGCCCAACAGCTGCTTTTTGATGGGCACCTCCACACATGAGCCCTGGGCAGTGCCCCCTTTTCTTGGAGAGAAGTGAATACATTGACAGAATCGTTTCCGCCCTCCGACCCATGCCAGCCTGGGCGGAGCCTTTACAGAGGGGATCCAGAACTTGACCCGCCCCACCAGCTCCTGTGTCCACGGCGGGGCTTCTCTACCCCAAGGCCCGGAGCCCAACCAGGTCTCCCGAGACCGAGATCTCCGGGGCGCCCTCTATCTAATCTGAGCACAGCTCCAGCTGCGACAGGAATGTCATGGAAATGTAGCAAAGTGCCCGGAGCACAGGGGAGCGCACAGCTCCTGACACTGAACTACCTTCCTGAGCAGCGCCGTCTGCCCAGGACTGGAGCCTGAGGCCCGGCTCCCTCTGACGTCGGAGGGAGCTCTGCCCGCTAGCAGGCCTCTGGCGTCTCCCTCGCCTACCCAGACCCACACCAGCAGGGACTCTAGACCCGGCTGCACTCCGAACTTCTCTGGAAGAGGCACAGAAAGGACACTCGCCATCTTTCTCGGAGGACGTAGACAAAGAAACTTTGAGGCCACCTCCTGCCTCAACAAGCCCAGAAAAGAGCCACAACCCAACCATCTTCCTTCCACTAAGGGTCCCAGAAGGTTCGGCGTGGCTCCCTGCAAGCACCGGTCCCTGAAGGTCCACCCGCAGCCATGTCCGGGTGGCGCGGCAAGCACTCTAAACGGGGCACCTCGCTGCCAAGGCTCCGATGCCCACATGCGTCCCGATAAGACGTGCTATTTACTCGGGCTCAAGGCCACGGCCGCTTAATCCTTTCCAGACGGGCCTGCAGGAGCCGGGTGTCCTCACCCCCGCCTTCTGGGGAGGCCGGAGCCCACTCCCCCCGGGACCGGGTGGCGGGCGCCAGCTGCCCC